TTTTAAATCGATGGCAACGCTCTTGAGAAAAATCCTTTAAATCTGGTTTAAACGTATCTGTAATATTGGTAGCATTCACGGATTTCCCTTAAATCCCAAAAGTGTAAAATTCTTTTAGAAAAGGTCAACCTTAGAACAATTTCCATAGACTGAAGGCAGTTCACTCTTGGCATGGTAACAAGTTCTCCTTCGCCGGTTTCTTTTTGTGTTAAAGTTTCCCTTATAAGATGATTATTATATGCAATACAACTCTCTCTCTCTTTCTCTCTCGGTCGCTGCGCTTCCACCCAAACAAAGGTTCAGCTCCTGCCGCGTGCAGCGTTTGCAACACCCCCACACATAGCAGCAATCTGCAGCAACCACGAAAGTATGGCGTACCTGCCTGCAGCGCTTGTCGCAAATTTATCTCGAAAATCTCGAAAAATAGCTCAAATACAGCACTGAAAAGTCTACAACTGCATTGCAAAGGAGATGGTAAGAACTTCGTGTTATATGTACAAACATAGTTTCCATACTAAACTCATATCTTTTCTACACACAGGCAACTGCACACTCCAGCCGTACACGAAAATCCATATCAAAAATTTCAAAAAAGTCTACAAAGAACGCTGTACATCTTGTTGGCTGAAGAAATGTCTACAAACGTTACAGGTACCGCCTGCAGATAAACGACGTTTGAGTGCCGCGCTTCCGACATCATTGCTTAAGCAGATTGAGGCGAAACGAGAGCGTGATCCCGAAGAGGAGAGTGGTGAGCTACACGCGACACGCAAAGAGCTGGACTTGGCTGATCTCTCTCCCACTGGACTCTTTGGCACCGCACGTTTCAAGTGGAAGCCTACTTTGGAAGTTGCGAATGAAAGTTTGAAATTGAACCTTAAAACCAATCCGTTGGCAGAAAATAATGCCACGTTCGGCAGTTCGGTTATTCTGAGGCCGCCTATACTGGAAAAGCCGCTCTTCTTGAAAAGCCCAATTGGGGCGGCAGCAGCAGCGCTGCAGCTAAAGGAGAAACACGAAAATCCACAGAGCACAAATAACAAGAACGAAGATAAGATGCAGGCGCAGTTGTCATCACCTGAGAGTAGCACACAGCAGAGAGTGACCAAGAGTAAGCGCAGGGACAAGCACGACAAGGAGAAGGAACGTGACACAGAGAAGAAACGTCTCTCCAAAGAACGTGGCAGGGAGAAGGAACCTGAGGCAAGCAACGTAAAAGCGACCGCAAACATCAAAATGCAAGCTGCATTAGCAACTGAGAGTACGACAAATGCGCTAGCGATCAACACTAAAGTTGATACTATTGAAATAAATAAAAGAGCCGCCAAGGCGGCGTCACTGTCCCCGGCGGCCATAGCAGCCGCAGGTGGTGTCGCTGCAGACGTAGTGAGCAATCTAGGGAGCACAACAACAACCGCTGGCACGTCCGGCGCATCACCGGAACAATCTCAAGTAATAGCTGCAGCAACACCCTCATCAAGCGACTCGCTAAAGCGTCAGCGCATCGACATAAAGGGGCCGCGTGTGAAACATGTCTGCCGCAGCGCATCAATCGTTCTAGGCCAACCGTTGGCCACATTCGGCGAAGAGGAGACAGAAGAGGAGGAAGCACTTGCCATAGCAGAGGATGTTAGGTCTAGCGCAGCAACAACGTCAGTATCGAACAAGCCGGAAGAAATAGTAATTGAAAGTAGCAATGAGGCAGCGCCATCGCTGGCGCCAGCGCCAGAACAGCCGCAAGCTGTACAGCAAACAAAAGAATCCAAGGCTACGCCGCAAGATAAGAAGGAAGGGGAGACAATCAGTGAAAAAGTTGAAGTTGCAGAGAAGCTTACGCAGCCTGCGCAGGCCAAGTGGACTTCTATCACACTTCCGTCTACAAGCATTGAAAAAGCCGCACCAGCAGCTGCCGAAAGTGTTGCACCAACGGCGCCCAAGGCAGCTAAAATCGTCAACAGTACGCCTGCTGAAAAGAAGGAGGTGACCGCTGCGATTGCGGCAGAAGTCGAACCGGTTGAGAAACCTTCGTTGCCGCTTCAGCCCGCTAAGGCGGTCACGCGCAATTCCAACGCAAGCAACATCAATTTGCAAATTCACCGCGGCACGTCCTCAACTTCCTCCTACGCTACAACATTCGGCAAAAAACCAATACGTCAAATCAGCAGCGATGCAAACACAGCATATCAGCAACAGCAGCAGCAACAACAACAACTGCTGCGACGCAAGGAGCCACAGAAACTGAGAACACTGATCTCAATTGACTTTTGGGAGAACTACGATCCAGCCGAGGTGTGCCAAAGTGGCTTTGGCCTCATTGTCACCGAGACGGTGGCACAACGCGCACTCTGCTTCCTTTGCGGCTCAGCAGGCCTAGAGCCTTTGATTTTCTGCGCCTGTTGTTGTGAGCCATATCACCAGTATTGCGTTATGGATGAGTACAATTTGAAGCATTCCTCACTGGACGACACAATGCTCAGCTTCATGGACATTTCCACAATGGGTCACAGCACTGCAGCGCCCACACCAGAACAATTCAGCCAAATAACAAATCGTTTGAATTGGCTGTGCCCGCGATGTACTGTGTGTTACACGTGCAACATGTCTTCGGGCTCAAAGGTGAAATGCCAGAAGTGCCAGAAGAACTATCACTCCACCTGTCTGGGTACAAGCAAGCGGCTGCTAGGCGCCGATCGCCCGCTTATTTGCGTGAATTGTCTCAAATGCAAGTCTTGCTCTACAACCAAGGTCTCGAAATTCGTCGGCAACTTGCCCATGTGCACACCTTGTTTCAAGCTGCGCAAGCGTGGCAACTACTGTCCGATATGTCAGAAGTGCTACGATGACAACGACTTCGATCTGAAGATGATGGAGTGTGGCAACTGCAATCATTGGGTGCACTCGAAGTGCGAGGGTCTCTCCGACGAACAGTACAATCTGCTGAGCACTTTGCCGGAGTCAATAGAATTCATTTGCAAGAAATGCGCGCGTCGCAATGAAGACTGCAAAATGAAAGCGGTGGAGTGGCGTACTGCAGTGATGGAGGAGTTCAAAAGCAGCCTAATGAGCGTGCTCAAACNAAATTCGTCGGCAACTTGCCCATGTGCACACCTTGTTTCAAGCTGCGCAAGCGTGGCAACTACTGTCCGATATGTCAGAAGTGCTACGATGACAACGACTTCGATCTGAAGATGATGGAGTGTGGCAACTGCAATCATTGGGTGCACTCGAAGTGCGAGGGTCTCTCCGACGAACAGTACAACCTGCTGAGCACTTTGCCGGAGTCAATAGAATTCATTTGCAAGAAATGCGCGCGTCGCAATGAAGACTGCAAAATGAACGCGGTGGAGTGGCGTACTGCAGTGATGGAGGAGTTCAAAAGCAGCCTAATGAGCGTGCTCAAACTGTTGAGCAAGTCGCGGCAAGCGTGCGCGCTACTCAAACTCAGCCCACGTAAAAAAGTTCGCTGTGTTTGTGGCAACAGCACTGGGCAGATGAACTGCCGTGCGCAGCCGAAGAGTCTACAATTCAACAACGAGGCTGAGCGCGATGCACTCGCATTGAGCAGTGATGTGGAATCTCAGTGCAGCACCAGCGATGTGTATGAATTCAAGGACAAGCCCAGTGAAGAGAAAATGCCTGACAAGTGCACCTGCATGGTGAAAATGACGAGCTACAGCGGGTACGGCAATGGTGGCGGTCAAGCGGCGAGTAATCTCAGTCTAATGGATATTAAAAAGAAAATCAACAACAACGATTATGTTTCGCTTGCGGAATTCAACTATGACATGATCAATGTGATACAGAGTGTGAACTGTGATGAACTAGTTATTGCATACAATGAGATTTTGAGTGAGCAATTCCCTTGGTTCCAAAACGAGACGAAAGCATGCACTGATGCGCTCGAGGAGGACATGTTCGAGTCATGCTCCTATTCCATGGGTAACTCAATGGACGCACAAGACGATTTTGTAGAGGAAGAGCACAATCGTACCGTCATCGATCTGCCTGAAGATATTGAGGAGGTGCTTTACTCGCTCAAGCCGCGCGATGACCTGCGCACCTGTCTATTCTGTCGCAAATCCGGCGAAGGTTTGTTCAATGAAGAATCTCGATTGCTGTACTGCGGGCACGATTGCTGGGTGCACACGAATTGTGCCATGTGGTCGGCCGAAGTATTCGAAGAAATCGACGGCTCACTGCAGAACGTGCACAGCGCCATTGCGCGCGGTCGCATGATAAAATGCACAGTGTGTGGCGGTCGCGGGGCCACAGTTGGTTGCAATGTGAAATCTTGCGGCGAACATTATCACTACTCGTGCGCACGCAACATTGCCTGTGCGTTTATGACCGATAAGTCTGTGTACTGCCCGGATCATGCGCGCCAAGCGCTCAGAAGCAACACGGCGCTAACGATTGAGACGAATTTCGAGGTGGCGCGTCCCGTCTACGTGGAGCTGGATCGTAAGCGTAAGAAACTGCTGGAGCCAAGCAAGGTGCAGTTCCACATTGGCTCACTTGAGGTGAAGCAGCTGGGCACTGTGTTTCCACGCTTTTCCGATACCTATGAGGCTATTGTACCGATTAACTTTCTCTGCTCGCGTCTGTACTGGTCGTTCAAAGAACCCTGGAAGGTCGTCGAGTATACTGTGCGTACCACAGTACAGAATAGCTTCTCATCATTGACACTCGATGCGGGCCGCAACTTCACTGTAGACCATAGCAATCCCAATGTTTCGATAGTGCAGCTGGGATTGGCACAAATCTCTTGTTGGCACAGTAGCTTGGCTCGCGGTGAATTGATGGACTACGAGGCAGTTGAACTACGAAACTCTACGCTGACTAAGCTGCTACCGGAGTACTTAATGCACAGCCAAAACTCTTGTTCCACGCCAGATGAAAATACCGAGGAGGAACCACAAACGAATGCCGACTTGTTGCCGCCGGAGATAAAGGAAGCCATTTTTGAAGACCTACCACATGAACTACTCGATGGCATTTCAATGCTGGACATATTCCCCAAATTCATGATCTACGAAGAGATGGGCGGCAATAGTGAAGGCAAGACAGCTGAAATGTATCTGAATGAGCAATCGAAAGATGGCGTGGCTACATCATCTGTCGTAGCTGCTGCGCTGGCCGCCTCTAATGCAGGCAACAGCGGAAATTGCAGCGCCTCTAGCGTGCAGGTATCCGACGAAGATACAGCTAATTCATCGCTTAGTAAGCAGTTAGAACTGAGTAATTCCTGCTCATCAACTAACACGAACTTGGCTATAGGTCATGTANCTCTAATGCAGGCAACAGCGGAAATTGCAGCGCCTCTAGCGTGCAGGTATGCGACGAAGATACAGCTAATTCATCGCTTAGTAAGCAGTTAGAACTGAGTAATTCCTGCTCATCAACTAACACGAACTTGGCTATAGGTCATGTGGAGGATGCGCTGCTTTCGTGCTCACGCGTCACCAACTCCCAACTGCGACGCGCCATGAGCAGCACCGAATTGCAACGCAGCAAAGCCGAGATGCTCAAAAAGACATGGACAAAGTTTGAGAGCGTCAGCACGGCGGCTGCAGCGGCGGTAATTAAAAAAAGGAAACTTTCCAAAGGTCCATCGGAGCTACGTATGGCAGAGAGTGTGTTGCACAGCCTGCACCAACATCGCACAAAGAAAGACAATGCCGTGGGCGCTTCACGCCGCCAATCTATCTCGAGTGAATCGGAAAACGCCACCACGCTGCGCACAAAAACGTTCACATGGAGCGCGGCGAAGCGCTATATAGAGCCGCACACAGTCGACGAGAAGGACGAATCGAAAATCAAGCTCATGCAAGTGGATGGCGTTGACGACTCAATCACAGAGTACCGTATTATCACCAGCGACGCACAGTTTACAGGCACGGTGAAATGCGAACGTTGCCATTGCACCTACCGCAACTACGAGTCCTTTCAACGTCACCTTGCCACCTGCGAACCGCTCTCAACTAGCGAATCCGAGTCTGATGGCACGTCCCGCTCGCCGGGTTCAGCGACAAACGGCAGTCCACCGCTGGGCGGCTTGGATGCCAACATCGATTTGAGTAAGTTGGGCCAGACGCAGCGCACAGCCACACTTACCAGCACCGCCAACAGTTTGCCCTTCCTTCAAGCCTTCTCGCACGCCATACCACTTGGAAGCATACAAGCCAACTTTAATGGCATACCTATTGCGAATATGTCTAACGGTTTTCAGAGCGTGCAAGGTCTGCAGAACATACAGAACATACAGGGCCTACAAAACATACCAGGCTTACAGAATATACAGCTGCAAGGTTTGCAGACACCGCAGGCACTTGGCGGCGGTTTCTTCATTTCGCAGGCGAATCCAACCACTTCAACCACCGACGAAGTACAGCTGTTGAACTCACTGCAGGGATTGACAGCGAATTTGAATGGCACCTACACGTTGGCGCCCACCGGATTTGGCACCACCACTGTACAAGCAGCTCAACAACAACCACAACTAATTGCAGTCTCTACATCGCCTGATGGGACACAGCAAATCATACAACTACCCTCGGGTGTTACAACGCAGCCAATGGCCAATCAGCAACTATTGCAAGGACTCAACGCTTTCCAGACCCTGCAAGCCACAAATAGTGATAAGAAAATTATATTGCCTGTGGCTACAACCGGCAAGCCTTTGAAAACTGTTGCCACCAAGGCCGCGCAGCAGGCGGCCAAGAATAAGTTGAAAGCTGGCAGTGCCACGGTAAAGCCCATACAATCAAAAATCAACGCCGCCACAGTAACAGTGTCACAGCCCTCAATGCATGCTGCACAACAACCGCCACCTACACCGATAACTGTGCTCAATACAGGTGGTAACGGTACACAATTGCTCAACCAGAATTTGTTACAACAAATGCAAGCCGCCGGCTTGGCTACCACCACCACGCAACAGCCACAGCTGCTCTTCCAAACCGCCAACGGCCAGCAGCAGCCGATCGTCATGCAGCAGCTGAGTGCACCTAATGCCACAGTGCCGCAAAATATAATCTCGTTCGTGACCACTGATGGTACACAAACACCACAGGTGCAATACATGACCATACCTACGGCCAATGACTATAAGCCACAAACGCAGGCGACGCCATTTATCACTGCAACTCCAGCGCCGGCAAATCAATATCTACAGGGTGCTTTTCTACAAACCGACGCTAGTGGTAATCTGATGCTCACCACAACGCAAACACCCACCGGCTTGCAAATGCTTTCAGCCACACCTTTGAACATAGCGACCGCGACGCAGGCGCCGCCACAACCGCAAGTAATTGGGACGCTCATTAATCCGCAAACCTTGCAGTTGGGCGGTAATGTTATAGCGACCACAACGGACCCACAACAGCAACAGCAAGTGATAATTGGTGGCGGTGCCACGGGATTGGAAATGATTGCTGCAGCAAATGCGGGCGCCCCACAAGTCATACTCTCCACACAGCCAATGTACTATGGACTGGAGACGATAGTGCAAAATACAGTGATGTCTTCGCAGCAATTTGTCTCCACAGGCATGCTGAGTCAAAATGCCAGCTTCTCGGCGACCACAACGCAGGTATTCCAGGTAGGTTGTAGGGGAATATTATAAGTGAAATGCCTGATTAGCCTTTAACAGGTATACACTTATAGGGTCTCGAAGCAACGTTAAATACGTAGCGATACCAAATTCGGATCGATAACATTATCGATACCAATATCGATCTTCATATATGTATTATTATATGTTTGGACAAATACGCAGTACATATCGATACCTGAGTGGAAGATCGATCTATCTCGGCAGTCAGTTCGAAAACGCCCTATCTCAGAAAACATTCTTCAACCAATTTCTGCAACAGGGCGTTCTTGAAAAGTTTCTTTGTGATAGGGCGTTTTCGAACTGCTGAGATAGGTCGATCTTCCATTCAGGTGTCGATATGTAGATATCAGCAACCATATCATGCTCTGCTTAAATGTACCCTTACGTAGATTTATTTTTCTCTAGGCGAGATTTTATTTCTATATCGTCGGTGATACTGCAAAGCGTTCCATGTCAATTATTATCGCTGGTGTTTAAATGATTTGTCATCTTTATCANTCGAAAACGCCCTATCTCAGAAAACATTCTTCAACCAATTTCTGCAACAGGGCGTTCTTGAAAAGTTTCTTTGTGATAGGGCGTTTTCGAACTGCTGAGATAGGTCGATCTTCCATTCAGGTGTCGATATGTAGATATCAGCAACCATATCATGCTCTGCTTAAATGTACCCTTACGTAGATTTATTTTTCTCTAGGCGAGATTTTATTTCTATATCGTCGGTGATACTGCAAAGCGTTCCATGTCAATTATTATCGCTGGTGTTTAAATGATTTGTCATCTTGATCGCTTGTATTAATCGTTCAACTTCATCAGCCAAAGGTAGACCGTTTTGTCACTAATTTATTTTAGTGGAACGATTTGCAAATGCATTCCGGTAAGTGCCAAGGGTACTAAGTTAGACCGTTTTGCAGTATCACCAACAATACGCTAGTTTTTCTATTACTATTAATAGGTTTGTTCGTCGAAAATCCAGCTAGAATTATCCAACACTCAAAATATCAGAGAGTAAGAAAAAATTCTCTCAAATTCTCTCTCATGTTGAGAAACTTGCAAATTTCTGCACGAACGCAAATTTGCAGGAATTTGCAAGTTTCGCTGCCAGCTGGCGTCCACGGTTGCATTTCAAACATAAAAAATTTTTATAGAATTTTTAAAATTCTTTCGGATGGCCAAAAACAGGATATACATGTATATTTCTTGTTGTTCTGACTTTCTTTGACATACATTTCAATTTCTTCATCGTACTAGCTGTCGGGTTTCTTAAATCGACTCTGGTTGCAATTGCATTCCGATTGCGAATACCATTTTTTTCAGCCGAATTAAGTTCAAATCATTGGAATTAACTAAATTAATTATATCAACAATTATTTACTTCCTTTTTTCATAAAAAAATCGCTCGTGTTTATAAATTTTTAAATTTAACGAACTAATTTATTCAAATTATTGTGGACAAAAATGCAACCATGCGCCACAACCACATGTTTTTCGTGTTTGCAAATTCTTGCTGGCAAAATTTTTTCCAGCAAGAATTTGCAACTTCTCTCCAAGAGAAGTCACTTTGCTCTCACAATTTTTGAGTGTTGGATAATTTTTTGGTCTGCACGAACGCGATTTGGGCAAAAATCGTGATAATTCGTACAAATTCGCACAAATTTTTTGCTCGACGAACAAACCTATTATCTCCCGACTTGCAGATTTCATTTTCGACAAAAAAAAAAATTTTTCTCTGCATACACAATTTATGTATTTTTGACTACAGATTTATTTTCCATTCGCGGGTTTTACACTTCGACTCGCAAGATGTATTTTTCAATTCGTTATGAGATTTTTTTTCATTTGCAAGTTTTATTTAACGAATCGCGAGTGTAATTTTCGACTTTTACTTATCCACATTTTGCCATTAATCAATCTGCGCTCTTCGGATAGAAGTGTAAAAATATGGGGTTTCCCATCAAATGTCACTTTGATGGTCTACGCATTCCCTAACACGGAAAGGCTGTCCTCAATTTTCAATCGCTAAAAGGCTCATTTGTAAATGTTTTGTAAATGTTTTTTTTTTATTTAAATGTTTTTCTTCATTTCCTTATCCACTTGCAGGCAAGCAAAATCGAACCCATTGTGGACATACCATCCGGTTATGTAGTGCTTAATAACGTCGATACGACTCCCGCAATAGTGCAACAACAACCAGCAACTTCGCAACAGCCGAATTTCCTAAATGCGTCTACAGTATTACAACAAACCCAACAGCAACCTGTACATGCCAGCGGACTGCAGAATAACGAGCAACAGCCAATTTTCCGACTGCAAGCAGTTGATAACAACAGCAGCAACGTTTCAGCTACAGTGACTGCAGCTACAGTTACGCCAACTGTGACGGCATCAAGTTTCCAATTCCAGCCGCAACCGCNTAAGCGGCATGACGGGCGCCGGCCCCAAAATGGCCGCCGATGCAGTTAAATATCAAAATGGTTTGGCCAACAATTACTCAGGCGTAACAGCGGAAGAGACGGCCGCTGTTGCAGCAGCTGCCTCAGAATACATTACACAAATGGCCGCCAAGATGAGCGCGCAAATGCCGAGTGGCTCGTTGGAGGTGATAGGCACAAACTTCGATTTGCAAAAGCTCGCACCAAAGTTAACGCCGCAAGTAACTTTAGACGCGCATGCGTCACATCCAGCGTCGCAGCAATGCGAAGAGGCAGCAGCGCGCACCAGCGTACACGCCGCACGCATGCAGGATCCTCTGCTGGCGACACGTAAACCCACGCCACCACCACCGCCGCCACCGCAACGCGATCCAAAGAAGATAAGCGGCCCACATCTGCTGTACGAGATTCAAAGCGAGGATGGTTTCACCTACAAATCTACCTCAATCGCAGATATTTGGGAGAAAGTTTTCGAAGCAGTGCAGGTCGCGCGGCGCGCACATGGTTTATCACCGCTGCCCGAGGGTCCACTCGCCGATATGGCCGGCGTTCAAATGATGGGTCTAAAGACGAACGCGCTCAAGTACTTAATCGAACAGTTGCCTGGTGTGGAGCGTTGCTCCAAATATACGCCGAAGTACCATAAACGCGCAGCGGCAAGCGCGCACGCAGCGGCCACTACAGGGGCTCCATCGTCAGCAACCAATAGCGCTGCAATGGCGAGCGCGCAGCTTGCCGGTGGCAGTGGTATTGACCTAAATGCGACACTGGATTATGCCTCTGATCAGGATGAGCTACAGGAGAATCCGTACGAATCGGCGCGCTGTGAACCGTATGCGACGCGCTCCGAATACGATATGTTCAGCTGGCTGGCATCAAGGCATCGTAAACAACCGATACAAGTGTTTGTGCAGCCTTCCGACACGGAGTTGATACCGAGGTGAATTTGAGAATATTGGAAGATAAAATATGAAACTGTTTCTTTATTTTAAAATTTTGTTGATTTTGTAGGCGCGGCACTGGCAGCAATCTACCAATGGCCATGAAATATCGCACACTGAAGGAAACTTACAAAGATTATGTGGGCGTTTTCCGCTCACACATCCACGGACGTGGTCTTTACTGCACAAAGGACATTGAAGCTGGTATGTGAAGCTGGAGTTTTGTATATATATTGTGTTTTCTTTTTTTTTTTTATCGTAAGTTACTTCCTTATTCTTTAGCAAAGGATAGACGGAGTTAACTGGCCAGAAAAAGAAAAGTAGTTTTCGTTTTACTAAAAAAAAATATGTGTATTTTTTCTCCCCAAAGGCGAAATGGTGATTGAATACGCAGGCGAACTGATACGTTCCACTTTAACCGATAAGCGTGAACGCAACTACAATAGTCGCGGCATTGGCTGTTATATGTTCAAAATTGACGACAATTTGGTGGTGGATGCTACCATGCGCGGTAATGCGGCACGCTTCATAAATCACTCGTGTGAGGTAAGTAGCGCCAAATATTTTATGGCAACTTTATATTAACAAATAGGTCTTTGTAGAATTTATATTTTTTTTTTTATTTTTTATATCTATTTGAAAATTTCCTCGAATGTAATGGAAATAATAGGCCTATATTCCTTTGGTTTATCGTGATAGGCTCTTCCTCTCTTTGATATACCTTTTAAACATTCCCTCACAACTTTGGGATACATCAAAATCTCAGACGATGGGTTGTACTCAGACTTTCAAGATATGTTGCAGTTGGTCCCAGCAAATACCATCCTCTCTTTGAGTGTAGTAACTGGGCGTTACAAGTGACTTTGCAAATATCTTTCTGGATGCTTCGGATAATGCTTAGATCCTACTGATTAACTGTAATCTAAGCACACCTACATTATTTTTGAAGTTTGTTTTTCGTTTAAAGGCAAGCCTTGCTTAAGGCTATCTCACACCTATCGACAAATACACCAACAATCGCTCCAAACGTGTGCCCGAAACATTTTTGGACTTTTCTCCAATCATGACAAACAATTTTGAAACATTTTCCGAATCCAATAGTTCAAAAAACAACTAAAAAGTCTAATGGGTCGATTGCAGATAGCAACCCAACCACAGTTCGGTTGCCAGCTTACAATGCAACTGGAAAGAAAATTTGTCTTACGAATGGTAACTAAATTTGACAGTTCAACAACCAACAAGCGGCTGTAAACAAGCTGTGCGAGTAAAATTAAATTATTAAAATAAAGATTTTTAAATAAAAGACAGTAATAAAGCTAAATTCATGACAATTATTTGTCTACGAGGAAGAGATGTGCATGAACCGGCCTCAGTCAGGTGACACTTAAAGGATAATTCCAATCCTCTAGAGCTACCGCGTGTACTATAAGCAAAAAATAATGCTTTCAATGTATTTCTTTTGTTATCATTTTGTGGTAATTTTCAAAGCATATTGAGGACTTCCAAAAGAAGTTGTAGTATAATTGGTTAATAAACAGATGCACCACTTCGTTCAACTTCAATACCTCCGCCCATAAAAGCTTGCGCACCTCTTCGATTTTTCGCAGAAGGAAGTGCCACAGCAATGACTTTAATTGTGAAAACTTGGTGTGTTGGTAGTTTTAAAAGAACGGAAACTAAAAACAAAAAACGGGAACTAAAACTTCAAGTTATTGGTTTGTTATTTTACCATATTCTGTGTTCAAAACAAACTGCATTGCAAAATATTAATATCGTTCAAATTATTAAAAAGTAAAATAAATGACACTTTTCAATTTTCGCTCCTAAATACGCTCCAAAAACATTCCCAGCAACCACAAAAATGTAGTCGCCTGTATACACACTTTGTAGCAACTGCAGTTGTCTGTTGGAGGTTGCCGGTTGCCATCTGTAATATCGTTTTGGCAACTAGCATCGCAACTGAAGTTCGATTGCTATCGATAATCGACTCATAAGTTCATAAAATACCTGGTGCAAGTACTCAATAGTTGTTTCACCTTTCCGAAAACTACCGCTACGTGGTAAACGGGGATGGTTTTACGTCTGTTTCAAACATCTTCGATAGAATATTCAGTTAGATATGAGATATATTTGTATAGATATATGTGGGCGGCATCACGCCCATTATGCAAAATTCCATAATAATGTTATTTCTTTTCAAGGGATTGTTATTAGTATCAATATTTAATAAAGCTAGCGTCCTTAAATTTCGAAATATCGATGTTTCAAGCATTTCTGACAGATATGTGGTTGTTGTTGTTGTTGTTGTAGCAGCATACAAATTCCCCAAAGACTTTTTGGGGAGTGTTGCTGGAGTGACAGTCCTTGGCCAGATATAAATCTGGGTCGTTCCGGTTACGTAGACCCGACTGTCGTGTGGTCATAAGCTGTGGCTACCACTGTGGTGAAGTGGTAAGCAGTGCGCGTTTACACTCCGCAGGACCTGGGTTCAATCACTGGTCAAAGCAACATCGCAAAAATATAGAAAAAAGGATTTTTCTTAACAGCGATCGCCCCTCGGCTGGCAATGGCAAACCTCCGAATGTATTTCTGCCATGAAAAACAGCTTCTCATAAAAATACAATCGCCGTTCGGAGTCGGCGTAAAACTGTAGGCTCCTCCCCTTTGTGTGGCAACATCAAGGCGCACCCCACAATTTGAAGGAGAAGCTCGGCCAAGCACTAACGAATGTGTAAGCGCCAATCTATTATTATTGTGTGGTCAAAAGAAAGAAAAAGTGAGTACCAGTACAAATATGTTTTGCTAAAGGCTCTGCCGACAGTTAATGTTGGGGATTGACTTACTTCATTTGGTGTTTTTTCCCTTTTCTGAAATCGTATTCCATATAAATTTTTTTCAGATAGAAAAAAAAATCATGCATTTAGGGGTTAAACTACCATCATATGGGATGTGGGCGTGGTTACTATCAGATTTTTTAAATTTTCAGCCGTTTGGTATGTTTTGTCAAGACCAACAGCCGTACCAAGTTTGGGAGAAATTGGTGGAGCGGTTCCCAAGATAAAAACATATAATCATAAGTGGGCGTGGCTACGCCCATTTTCCAAAAACTTATAATATGTATCCTTATTTTTCGTCTAAAAATTATTGTAAATATCAATTTTGAGTCGAAAAGCTTCAGTAGCTACTAAAATATTGCAGTTTTCGTATTTCTGACAACTACCATTGTATGGGAGGTAGGCGCGGTTATCGTCCGATTTTGCCCATTTTAATACCATCCGTCCTACGCTGAAAAGAACTGCACAGACTAAGTTTCGTTAAGATATCTCAATTTTTACTCGAGTTGTCGTGTGCACGAACACCGCTTCACCGCTTAATTTCTTTCTTGATTTCTTTTTTCATTCTGGCGATTTATGCATACATTTGTCTATATCTATCTCGAATCGTTTTTCCTGTTACATTATGTGAACAAAGTTATAATACCCTTGTGCACAAGGGCGCTCGGGTATAAAAATTGTGCAAATGTACCAATGACGTGATCCCTCGCCTTCGCCCCCCATCCCCTTCAGAGTGTTGTGTTCAGGTTCTTGTTTTTTGCTCATCGATTAGATGTCTTGCAGATTTGTCAACTGCTCCGGTAACACTTTTATTCCCATGGCCTTTGGCGCATCTGCATAACTCGGCAATTGATTGGTTATATTCTAATGCTGTATGTGATCCTTAGGATTAATTAGTGAACTTGGCCTGTGGTGTAAGAAGTAGGGTGGTATTCCGGTCAACAAGCCCACCTCTTCCATCCACGTGGTGTTGGGTATGATGTAGCGTCGTCACTTGCCCTTCAGTCCTACTGTGTGGAATGATTCGTAGTTGGATGTGGCATGAAGACAATGACATATTGCCCTTAAGCCTTCTGCGTGAGGTTCCGTGTCCCTGAATGGTGCCTAGAGGCAATTGCTATTTAGTTTGAGTGCAACGAACACTTAATAATGAAAAGTAGCAAAACTTATCATGAGTTGCCTGGTTTATTAAATTCTTAATATTAATTACTTCTTTTGATTTCATCTCTTTCAGCCCAACTGCTACTCGAAAGTGGTGGATATACTCGGACATAAACACATCATAATATTCGCTTTACGACGCATTGTACAAGGCGAAGAGCTAACCTATGATTACAAATTTCCCTTTGAGGATGAGAAAATACCCTGTTCCTGTGGTTCGAAGCGTTGCCGAAAGTACTTAAATTAGAAAAAAAAAACGAAAGGATCTAATAATTATTATAGTCAAAACCAAGTAAATATGGAATAGTAAGAGGGGAAAGTAGAATTTAAATGTGTATGGTTTGGCGGAGAGAAGAATTAAATGAAGCTTAACGGTACCATGCTGTTTAAACTTAAGTAAAGTTTTAAAAGGACGACGCTTTTAAGCATTAAGATTTGTTTTAACCACACAAAGCAGCGTTGCATTAAAATGACACACACACATGGGTACATATGTAAGTGCTTGCATGCGTTTCGCATAAGTGGTGGGCAACAGTAAACGTTTTTTGTTAAATAAAACCTACTACTTTACCATGCTAGTGATAAGCGTTGATGATGGCATTGACATTTTTAGTGCGCAGCTGTGACTTTGGCGGACAAGTTTGATCGAATATGTTGATATTATTGATAGAATTGGAGACATGTCAGTATTCACTAATAATGATTTTTGTTAAAATATAACTGAGCCACATAAAGTTACACATACATATATGTATACCCACACACACACACACACACACAAACAACACACAGAAAAACACATGCATACACAAAAGTAACGAAAAGTGATTATAATGGAAATTTAACTTACTTAGTTTTACTGATTAACTATTAAACTACCATATATGTATGTACATAAATACATACTTATTTACGTATGTATATGTATTAGTAAGAAAAGCGTAAGGAATTTAAGTATAATGCTATTAAAAACAAAACCTTTACCGGATTAGTTGTGGTGAGCAGTAAGCAAAGAATTAAAGCAGATTTCTATTATGTCTACAAAACGTATTTATTACTAACTAAAAGTAAAACAAAATATACATACATACATACATACATACATGCATACATATATTTAAATAAATAAACATACATATATTACAACTATTAACAAACAAAAATGTATGACTAAATGTTATTGTTGATGACGTAAATGATAATAAGCCTAATGCTGTTTGACTAAAACGAAAAAGCAAAACGAAAGTAAAAGTAAATATAATAATAAACTCAAACTCACAATTAAGTAACTGTAATAAGTGAACTATGTTTAATAAAATATTATTGCTACAAATATATTTTAATTATCATTTCAAAGTATGCTTTCAAATTGGCANGTTGATGACGTAAATGATAATAAGCCTAATGCTGTTTGACTAAAACGAAAAAGCAAAACGAAAGTAAAAGTAAATATAATAATAAACTCAAACTCACAATTAAGTAACTGTAATAAGTGAACTATGTTTAATAAAATATTATTGCTACAAATATATTTTAATTATCATTTCAAAGTATGCTTTCAAATTGGCAATTGTCCGAAANAAAAAAAAAACATTGAGAAAGGGTAGAGTAATTAATTTAAATAATAAAATAGTTAAAAAATCAACGTATAGACGAATAGCATAGTGTAGAATAAAGAATGTGCATGTGTGAGAACATCAGCGAGAAATTAAGAAAAAAATCGTAAAATTTCAAATTTAAATATGTTTGTGTTATTCAGTTTGCAAAATTCGTTAACTGAAATTTCGGAAACAAAAACAAAAAAGAAGAAACAATAATTGAAATAAAACTCTTTACAGGGGAACTTTTTATTAAGGAAACAAAAAAAATGTGAATTGTAAATATTTGGGTAAATTAATACATACATATATAAACATACAAATATATTTTTTATTATAATTTTAATGATTTGTTCTAATGCGTTAAAAGCAAACGAAGAGATTGTTTTACGTTGTAGCGGGTGTATGCTGAAAAAAGAGGGCGAGACTTAAAAATTGAGTAAAGTGAAGCAAAAGGAAAATGAAATAACAATGTAAAAATTACACAGCCACACAATCAAAAGATGACGTAAATTATTATAAGTATTGTGGCGTGCTGTATCCGAATTTGCTACCAGAATTTTTGCAACGAGTCTTGTTTGAAACTCAGCCCCAATTTCCTCGTATATTTCTGCGATTTTTAGGTGTTCTTCGAGGTCAGGTTTGAACTTAGATGAGTTACGCGAATTCTGACAGCAAATTCGTTTACGCGCTTACGCGCTTGAAATACTTAAAACTACCATTGTCGCGCTCCCAGTTCTTTAACTTTTTTTTTTTTGTGTGGCTGTGACATCGAAAAAATTTATGCAAATTATGCAGAGGTCGCAAAAAGAAAACAAAAGAAAAACACAGTTGAAACGGGCATAATTTGTAAAGTGTACACATATTTGCTGTTAAAGAAGTAAAAATAAAAAAAAGTGCATAATCATCACATTCACAATTGAAAAAGCAAATCTATATATGTACACGTGTGAACACTTAAAAGTATTTATTTGCTTAGCACAAGCGAGCATAGTAAGATTTTTTAATATTAAATATAAATAATATTTTTTTAATAATTTTAAATAAAAATACACATATTTTTTAAACACACTGTAAGTACCGCTGTAAGTGTCAACACTCAAATTCTCTCAGACTGTGGCTAATTGTGTTTTTATCAAAATTTTAGTGTCCGAATAGTTTCTAAAAATTAATTTTGCAAAACAGGGGAAAAGTTGCACATACAGGATCGGTCATATGATTAGTTCCCCCAATTCAAAGTGATTTTGTTTGCCACTTATGTTTATTTATTTATTGTTAAGAACTTTCAATTAAAATACAGTTCATTTTCTAACAGAACCCATACAAACCGAAGTTTAAAAACTTGTAGAAACCTAAAAAAAATCAAACAAATTTTCATCAAAATTTTATATATTTTTCTTAGAAAGCTCGAATTTTTTTGAGTATACAGTTTTATAGCCCACTCAATTTTAGTGCAATAACATGCAAGTTTCAAGTGGCTTAAAATTAGCGTTGATTTTTTAGATATTTTTCGCATTTGTTTCCATATAACGAATTAACGCAATTTATTTTCATATGGAAGAAAACCATAACACCTTCGGCAAAAAAATTCTAAAAAATCAACGGTAATTTTCAGTCACTTGAAACTTGCACATTATTGCACTAAAATTGAATGGCTGTAAAACTGTATTGGACCAAAAAAAATTCTAACACTTCTACAAAATTCTAAACTTGAGTTTATATGGGGTTTGTTAGAGAATAAGCTGTACTTTAATTGAAAATTCTTAAAAATAAATAAACATAAGTGGCAGACAACATCACTTTGGAAAGTGGGTGCTAATGATATGACCGATACTGTACATACATAGCTTGGATTGAAGCTATATAGTAGACTAATATATGCGCAATGCTTTCAAAGCAAAAAATATCATTTCCTCAGCCATATGTTGAATAACGTCATCGTCAGTAAAAGAGTCAATACGGCCATCGCCAGTCATTTTACTGATTCGCTGGCGATCGTCGACGATGACGATATTCAGTATAGGGCCGCTTGTTACTTGCGTATTTAAATTTTATTTTTATTTTTTTAATATTAATATTAATCCTTTTTTAATTTCAATGCCTTTTTTTAATTGAAAGATTTTTTATTTATAATATGCTTTTATTCTACTTTCCTTAAATTCTTTATTTTTTTAAGTTTATAATTTAAGGTAGCGATTTTGTTTCTTTGCTATCTGATTCCTTATCTACCCTCAAACCACCACATTTCACACCACCTGTCACTATCTTTCATTTGTCACCATTAGTAAATGTAATTTGTCTCGTAATACCCGCTTCCCCTACATTCTAGTTTTTTAAGCCACAATTCTAAGCGACAGCGAAAAAACCAATTGAAACTTACAATGCACAGCAACAACACAACACATTCAATACGTACATTTGTATTTTTATTGTATTAATTAATTTGTTTAAAAAATGTATGTATGCATTATTTATGTAAACCTTACTGAACGATAAACAATAAAAAAAATTACAAAAAATCATGTAAAAGCCGCAAAAAACGCTAAATTATTCTTGTATTGTATTTGGTACTAGGTAGTGAGTGCCTACACTTTTTGGCAGCCATTTTTCATGCGGTAGCATTCAAAGGAATTTTAAATTTTTATTCCCTAAAGAAAAAAATTTTACAACAAAAAAATCGTAAACGAAAAAGCTACTACTACAAAGAAACAAAAATTTAACAAAATAAAAACGATTAAAATATGGATTTATTAAGTTATAAGTTCTAGTTATATATATATTCCTACATACATACTTACATATATATCATTTGTACGAAACAAAAATTTACAATTTAAAAATAACAAAAAAAAACAAATAATTAAATATCTTATTAAAGCAAAATGCAAAATGATTGTGAATAAAGAGAATATCTTTTTTCTTTGCAAGCAATAAATAAATTTGGACTTCTTTGGTGTGATGTGAGGTGGATAGTGTTTCCAGATTTGTTTTCCTGCTGTACGGGACAAATACAAAATTTGTCCCAAAAATACGGAATTTATAAAAATTTAACGGGACAAATGAGAAATAACGGATTTGCTTTAGAAGCCCAACCACGAACCATATATTATTAACAAACGTGATCCATTTCAACGCCAGGGGCCGTGATGGTTATGCCTTTTTTCAAAAAAGTAAAAAGATAATCGTTATTTTTTTCAGTCAAAAATAAAAGTTACAAATTAACTTTTATTTTTTACGTCAAAAATAAAAGTTAAAATTTGACTTTTATTTTTTCAGTCAAATATAAAAGTTTAAACTTGACTTTTACTTTTCCGAAGATTACGTTCGAAAAGCATTTATGGAAATAGGCACCTTATGCGGAGAAGCGCATTGATGTTGATACGGACCTTGTAGAATGCTGGGAGAGCAAAAAATTTATATATCCCCGACTAAGAGATCTGGCATGTATTATACATCAAGTGCCAGCGACACAAGTCAGTGCAGAACACTCGTTCACAGCACTAAGCTTTTTCTTAGCGATTTGTGATACAATTAGTGCGTTCCAGCAGGTCTACAATTTGCAGGTTTTGCAGGATTTAGTCCAACGTCGTTCCCATACGCCAAAAATTCTGTATCTGGGAACACTCTCGTGAGAGTAAATGAGCAACTGTTCGCAGAATGAAGTTTCAAGATTTGGTCCGGAGTTTTTCTTCTGGTAAATTGATAAAAAAAAGTGTCCAACGATAGGAGGGTTGCATTTGTAAACAAAAACAGAACGCGGTGAAAGCAAAGAACCTTAAATTTGTTATAAAATGGAGGTAAATAACGAAATATTCGAATATGTACGCAATGTTTAGACTTTAATAGTTATTTAGTGATCTTGCAGCCAAATCAGTGTGGCACTAATGACAAATAAACAAACCAAATGATGTTTTTTCTGGAAAAGGTGCTTTTTGCGTTCCCGTACACTTCTGCATCTATTCTCCTGTTACTCTCACTTGAGAGAGGAAAATTGCAGTTTGACAGTTCCACAGGTTTCAGTCCGATGAATACTGGAACAAACTAATTTTGTCGGAGCGGAATATGGCTGCTATATTAATTGTTAAATTTATTTCCGAATTATTCCTGTAAAGAGGTGAATAACTTAAAGCTCAAATTAAAGAAACATAATATATTTAAAGAAGATAGAAAACTGCAATTGAAAGGATTTGCATTTTTTATTAAAATATATTGTATTGTGAATATGTTAATTGCTATTTTGACCGAAACAATAAAAGTCAGATTTAACTTTTATAATTGACCAAAAAAATAAAAGTCAAGTATTAACTTTTATATTTGACCGAAAAAAAATAAAAGTCAAATTTTAACTTTTATATTTGACCGTTTCAGACATGGGCGTAGTGCACTAATCTTTGAGTGCACTATGCTTTTAACTACCACTACTATAGCGATAGTGGAGCTGGTTTTTTTTATGAACAAACATTTTTAGT